TGCTGGGGGTGTCCCCCCTTCTGCCTGGGCTCCATTCCCTGCCCAGCACATCACTTGGGGCATCTTCTGGGGGCATGACAGTGAATGAATTCAAAGAACAGTTCAAAGAACAGTCCAAATGACGCTCTCATCCACAGAATTTGCCTTTGATTCATTCTCAAGATGTATTTCAAAACTTTTTGATGCTGCTGACATCAATAGAGCTCTACTGACATCAGTAGAGCTCTACAGAAACATTTGTCAGTTTCCTGCCCTCAGTGCCTTCTGCTCTTGCACAAGTTTGTCCATGGGCCTCTGTGGTCACTGGGCACTGTGGTCTCACCATCTGTCTGGCTGGGCTGTGCCCCAGTGTTACAGACAGGGTGACAGAGGGCAGGACACTCAGCAGGACTCAGACTGGGGCACAGTCCCGCAGCACTGAGCAAGGAGAGAAGAGCATCTCCAGTGAGGACCTATGGCAGATCTTCCCCCAGACCATCTCCTTTCCCTCAGCCCCATGTGGGAGAGAACTTGGGTGTGAAAAGTCAGCACAAGGCAGAGTGACCAGTGCCTTCCTGATTGCCCCATCCCTGAACATATGACTTTGCACAGCAACACCTCTCCACTTGAGGTGAATTCCCTGACTTTCCCTGTTTCTTACAAGCCAAGGGTCTCTTCTTTGCAGGACACCTATTAGGAATTTCAGCCTTTCCCCTGGAAAATGTCTCCTTAGAGCTGCCCTCACTCTGCCCCTCTCCAGTGCCTTGCCTAGCTTTATCTCGTAACCAGCTAGAGCCAGCCAGCATCTGGGTGTGCTGGTCTAAACAAGACAGAAATGCTGAACAGCTCTATTTCTTCACCTCTGTAATTTAGGAAAAGCAAAGCTGCACTTCATGACCACTCTTCAGTCTTTGATGTATTCTGATGTACCCTGTATACTTGCAATTTTTCCCCACATCATTATAGGATAATACTAAGTATATGTTAACATAAGAGCTTCCAAAGATGTTTGAGAGGCTTGTTTGTCCCTCTGCAAAGGGAAATCCTCCCCCTCCCTGACATATGCACTTATCTCTCCAGAGATTTATTCTTCAAGCCAGCCACTTTCTGGCATTGTTCCTTTTTGTTTATTAGCTATTCCTGACTTTCTGTTGAACAGGAGGTAGGAAAATTGGCAAAACACATGGAAAAGGCCTTCCTTGTGTGACAATAACACAAGACAAGGCAGAGCAAGAGAGACATTTAATTAATATTTTTAACAGATGTTGATCATAAATGAAGCATGTACCAGTGCCTTCGGATGATGAATTAAGTGGAGAGTTTTGGCATTGCTTTTATACTGATGTGCCCTCCAGTCAGACTTAATGTGCATATGGATAAAGCTCACTAAACTCCATTAGAAGAAAGCTTAAAAAAATTCTCCAAACTATCCCTAAACAAATGAGTATATATATTCATTTATGTGGTTTTCCAAAGACTCAGCTTTCCATCTTGCTTTCTAGAAAATTACTTTTTATGTTTTGCCTTTTGATCTCTAAAGTGTAGCTTTTCACCTTTACTGAGATGAGAGGTGCTGTCAATAGGTGCTTGGCTGTGGTCCTGCTCCATGCAGAAGCATTCAAGCAGCCCAGAGATTGGTTTGGCCCCTAGAAATTTTGCTATAACTAAATATTTGTGAACATTTATGTGACTCTTTGATCTGCCATAGATATATAAATGCCAGGAATGTGATCTGAAATCGGTCTGGATGAACAGGCTAAGGCACATCTCCAATATAGACTGAGTTTGTACTCAAGAGATGAGTTGTATAATGCCAATCTGGATGTTGCTGACAAAACCAACCACCTGCTCTTTTACTTTGTGAAAGGAGGACCCTCTGGATAGATGCTCATTTTAGAAAGACATGGTAATTCTTGTCATGCAAAGTTCTTATAGTTTTTTCAAAATGCAGAACCCAGAACATGTTTCAATGTGCTCAGGAGATCTGATCCAGCTTATGCCTTGCTCTGAGTCCTGTTGGGAATCACAGAGCACAAATTGTCTGCAGCTGTCCCCACTTCCTAGGAACACGTGGCCAGCTTTGCCTTCCTAATGGATAAAAGAATGAATTCTTTTTTCTCTTGCCATATTTTTAGCGTGTCCTTTCTTACCCAGATGGAAAATCCAAGAATTCCAGTAAAATCTCAACACATGTAGGTCTGAGTTTAAGAGAAGTCTCCATGGGAATGGGAGGTCAGGAGGGCGTATCACCAGCCCCACCACCTCACCCCGAGGAGTTACATTTAAATAGACTGAGTTGCTCGGGGCTAGGCTCTCTTTCTCTCGAACTAGAAAAATTCTTTCTTCTCTGTGAGAAAAAATTCTTTTTAATGAACCCTCCCCTCTTTTTTTCTTTGTGGTTGCTACAAAGACAGTAACTGTTCTCACAAGCAGTCCCACAGTCGTGCGTTTGGATGTACATAGTGGCTGCAAAAGGATTCAGAAGGACAGGAAGCACAAGTACGACCTTCATTAGAAAATATTTCCATATTTGTGCAATAGGATTGGAAGAAGGAGGCACCTCCATGCTTCACAGCTGAAGGGTGAGTTTCTCATCTGCAAGATGTTCTCCCTTGCACTGACAGAAAGCTCTTGAGCCGTTGTACGCTCCTGAATACATTTCCAGGGGACGTTACTGAGTGTAACGGTGCTGGACTCAGCACTGCTGGCTTCTCCTTTCCCTGCTGGTCCAGGCAAGTAATAGGTGCTGTAAGCCCCCTGGATGCTTAAAAACTCCTCCAAGGCGTTGTGTTGATAATTTTTTTTCCCAATATTATTTTTAATCCCTTAATTATTTTTAATTTTTAATTGGTGTAATAGTCCAGCTAAGAGTGTATCCCTACAGTGAAAATTAGGAAGCAGAAAGGATTATTGGCTGCAGGAAGAGGTGGCAGAAGCAACCATGGGCACAGAGAAACGCCTGCAGTACTGACTCAGTGGGAGGTGTAAGGACTTTGGTCTGTGCCCTCTGAGGCAGGGCCACATTCACACAGCATACCCTGGAGTGCAGAGCCAGAGAGTGGCAGTGGTGTACAGCATTTCAGTAGCTCCTGCTCAGCAAATCCACCCTGAGGTGCACCTGGGACTGCAGGACTTGTCTTTGCCTAGAAGGGAACTTGTCTGTGTCAGCCTCGGAGGATGAGGTATTGCAATATGCTGCAGTCCATGGCTGCAGAGGCTGCCCACCCATGACAAGTCTGTCACCCAGCGGCATTTGGTGCTGGGACCGGGGTACTTGTGCATGTTCCTTGTAAGCACTGAGGGAGATTGGAAAATAAAGTGAGTTCTGATGTGAAAAATGGGGACAAAAAAGGTTGTGCTCTTCAGGAGTTTAAAAACAGCTTGAAAAACTATGTTTATGGAGCAGGGAATAGGAGGGGGGGAGACATCTGTGCTTGTTTATTCATTCATATTTCTATTGGCCTTTATTATATTTAGACCATGCTAGATGATGACACAAAATGATGCTAGAAGTGTTTTGTGTTTACTGATGATCTGGAGAGCAGGAATGCTCTGTGGCAGCCTCTGCAGCTCCTCCTGGCCCAGATTCCATTGCACACATTTGACTCTGTTGATACAGCTCACAGTGCACTGTCATCTGATGGGAGTGTAAGCTCAAATCTTTTCTGCTCAGTTGTTTTCTTTATTTTCTTTCACTAGCAGGCTGTTATCAGACAGGAGCAAAGGGAAATCAAACATCATTAAGCACTGCAAGACCTCTGCCCTTCTTGAGCTGACACAGGGGAGTTCTTAATTTCTTTGACAACTAAATAGAAACAAAGTTCCTCATATTTCTAAACAGTCACTGCAATGAAAAAGCTTCAGTTCTGAAATAAAGGAATTAATCTTAGAGCTGGTGTTTGAAAAACAATGGGGTGTGTATTTGATATTTGGAAAAACACCAAGCTGGGACATTGTTATGGCCATTTTGGGTGTCTTTATAGCTTATAGAGAGGCAGAAAACCAGAACCAGCACATTGCTTCTTAGAAAGCCTATCAAAGACATCAGGTGTACAATGTAGTTTCTGTAAACTGCTTTAATATAACTTTCTATAACAGTGGTGTTCAATGATCACTTTGTCTTAACCTGCTTTCCTTTTTCCCTGGTCTGATGGGAGAATTCATTGAATGAAGAGAGAGGAAGGAAACAAAACTGGTGGTCCCAGCAGCTTCTGTCTGTCCCAGCTGTTGTGCTGTTACATGGGACCTAGACAAATGGGTCTATTTTAACACATGAAAATGTAATTTTCTTTTTGCTATGTCCTGATGAATTCTGCAGGTTTTTCCCCAGGAAGAACTCACTCTGGTGTTTATGGCGAGAATTGACTGGGCTGAGGATTGATCAGAAGCCTTAAATGCACATCTGCCAGCCTTTCTGGGATGAGGGCTGGTGCTGAAACCCCCTTGGTGTCTGACAGTCATTCTGCAGGACCCATCCCCAGATAAAATATTAGTGTGCAGGACAGCTCTAGAGACCTTTTGTACTTTAACACATCCTCTCTTACCCCCTCAGAGTGTTTTTCACACAGGGTCTCAGTGTTGTGGCCATAAGTCATTCTATGTACCCAACACATGCTATCCATAGTCTATGTAAGGTTATGTACACAGGGATATGTACCTTGGAATGCTGCCTGTGCTCTGGTGTGACACAACAGCCCAAGCAGAGCTTTGGTTTCTCCTGCAACATTAGCAAAGGGAATGTGCCCTGGCCTAAAGCAGATGCCCTGGGGGGAGTGGATTAGTGGGCTATTGACTTTTGTCCATCCATTCAGCTCCATTTCCCTTATCTCTCACATTTGTGACTCTGCTGGCTTTTCCACTTCCTCTTAACTCTGTTCCTGGAAAAGGGTGGGTGGGAACGGAAATAATCCATTAAACCTGTCTCCACTGATTTCCATTTCCACAGTATGATAACGGCACCAGGCTGCTCCTGGGTGTTGGTACCACGGACTAAACCTTTGCTTTGTTCAATTAGAACAAACCTAGGCTGCCAGATACCATCTCAAACTGCCACATTAGCAAGGACTGAACCTGGCCAGAGGAACTTCTGACCAAGAAATAAGATTTTCTAGGTTCTGGAAAAGTCAGTATGTTGGATCAGATTCATTGGCTGGCTGCCGTGACAGTCCTGGGAGTCCTGGAGCAAGGTAGGGACCATGGAATGGGTGTGCTCAAGTACTGGCTGGATCAATCTACTGTAACTCCACTGATTTTCTTTTGCTTTTGTATTTAATGTCTCCTGTTGCACTGGCACTTCACAGCTTTTCAGACAGGGAGCTGATATCTTGTCTGGGTTCTGGAGAGCATTCAACCAAATGAGTGCATGGGAAGCCCTTTCTCTGAACTGACCTACCCCCTCCTTTCAGATTTTTTTTTGGTAGATCTTTCCCTCTGCAAACATGTAGAATTTTCCTCTTTGGGCTTACAGCAGCTCCCAAAGTGCATGTAGATGTGAGCATACAAAAAGCTCTGCTGTGTGAAAAGGTGGAAGTATGGGCTGTGGTGGGCCACATGGAACATCTCCCAGCCACAGGTCCACATTGCATGCCAATTTCATTCAGTATCTGGTTGGCTTATCTGTGGCATCAGTTCCATCCCTACACAGACACCAGAATTTAGAAGAGCAAAAAATTAAAAGAATGAAAAAGCCTTGAAATTGTCAGTAATAAAGTGCATCTGAAGTGTGTAACAATTTTACCAACTGCTGATTATACAAGAAAGCAGGTAACACTGGTAGTACATTACTTGCTTCACTATAGTTCTGGGTCATTCCTTTTCTAAAAGGTACCTGGGATTTTATTCTAACTTTCTCTGCTGTGTGTGGGCTTAGGAGGAGACTGCAGATCTTTTTCCCCGGGCTCTGGCCAGCTCCTGGCTCTACCATGCCCAGCCGTAGGACTGACCACTGCTACTTTTCTCTCTTTTGCTGCAGCCTACTTCTTCCTCCAGGTGATCTATGCTAGGAGGTTGTTTGGCATTTCACCTCCAAAGATCTCAGGCCCTCCTGAATTTGAAAGGATCTTTCGAGCACAGTAAGAAATGCCTCTTATTTGATTTTTGTCAGATCTCATGTAGCGGCACTGCCTTTCCCCTGCTTTGCTATTGTTTTCTGGAACTGTAATTAAGCAATTACCTCCCTCGAGGTTAATCAATTGAAGAGTCAACATCAGAGTTGGGTTGGCTCTTGAGTCCTAAAGCAGACATTGCTGATAGAAACAGCACTGAAAAACACAGAGAAAACTCTGCTGCACAGTGAAGGGCTCTTAAAGACATAACCCTTGGTGCCTAAGACTTAGACTGGTTTTATCCAAGTGGTGCCAAACCTCAGGCAGCTTCAGTCCTGCTCTGAATCTCACTCTCTTAGAGGACAAGTTCCCAGAGAGATCTCAGCTGGTGCTGGGATGAGGATAACCCAGCATCTCTGCCCTCCCCGCTGCACTAGGGCTGCAGCGGGGAGGGAGGAGCTTTCATATTCTTGTAGCTGACCACTGGGAAAAAAGTAACTGAGTAGCTTGAGCTGGATCCCCTCAGCCATCCCCTTCTTGCTCCTTCACTAGCCTAGACTCAGCTTCATCCAGCATCTTTTGGTGCTACTGTGCCTTTGGGAGGACAGGGCATAGCATGCAAATAATCCCAAGAGTTATGTGCTCCCTCCAACTCCTGCGCGAAGCCCAGGCTGCTCTGGCTTTATGTACTTGAGGGACAGACCTTCCCTACAGCTTGGGGCATCCACAGCAGGATTTGAGCTGCAGCACTTGGGAAGCAGCAGTGGGAGTGGTTCATGGAGCCTTTCTGTGCACAGTCTGACCTGGAAATCTTTTACTTAATTTCTTGTAAGCTGGAGACCCTGTTCTTTCCATTGTTTAATTTCTGTGAATAAAGCTGGGACAGCAACTGGAGCCTGGAGGCTTTTTATGACAACATTAGTTCTAAAAAGCAAAAGCCTCCAATGTCTGGAAACTGCCAGGGGAAGCAAAAGAGGAAGAGTTCCTTCCTTCCTTCCTTTCCCTGGTTTATGACCTTTCTCTTTCCTGCCAGGGTGAACTCCTCTGAGTATTTTCCCATCTTCCTGGCACTTCTGTGGCAGGCTGGACTCTTCTTCAATCAAGGTGAGATTATCCCATTACCTAGTTTGTCACTGGATCTGTTCCCCTGCGTGCTGCTTCAGTCCTCAGGTCCTGCTCAACTTCTGAACAACAAATTAAGCAGTAATTCTGTCTCTGATGAGAGGGTAGAGCCAGACAACAGAGTCTCTATTCCTTCACTTTGGGCTACCTCCTTGGTTCCAAGCAGCTCTGAAAAGCCTTTGGAGATGGTTACTGTGGTCTCTCTTCAACACAGGTCTGGCTGCAGCCTTGGGTCTGCTCTATCTCTACGCCCGCTACTGCTACTTCAAGGGATACAAGGCATCGTCCTCAGAAAGGTAAACACACTCTCACACACTCTTGCACACTCTTGCACACTCTTACACACTCACACAGTTACACACACGCACACTCACACACAGCAGCCCTCAGGGGACTGCATGGTAACCCCTGGGGGGTTGTTTTTGGAAACATAACGTGCCTTGGGAAAGCTCACGACCCTTGGTGCTCCTGCATGACTCAGCCTTGTCTCCGAGGCATAAGTGAACATGGATACAGGGCTGGGGCAGCAACACAGATACTGGGCAATGCTGGGCTGCCCCAAGCCCTTTTGGGTGTGTGTGTTTGCTCCCTTGAGGCGGAAGCAGGGCATGGCACCCCACTCAGGGGGCAGGGGACAGCCAGGGGCTGCTTTCCACCCACTTCTGCAGGGAGCAAGGGGCTGTTCCCAGGCGGGAAGCTCGGTGTCAGCAGCTGCCTCTCTCCCACCAGACTCGCCCCGATATACTTCAGCGCTGGAGTTCTCTGGATTCTCATTGCAGTGTCAGCCCTGGGCATCCTGCATTTCTTCCTCTCTCACTATGTGGGGCTGAATGTCCTCCAGCTTCTCACAGCATGACCCACTCCTCTGTGCTTCACCACTGTCCTCATCTTCAAGTCCTGCTCCCTCCTGCCTGCCTTAACAGACTGGCTGCAACTCAGCAGCCCTCAATGAGAAAGCCACCTTCACCCAAGCTTTTAACTCCTCCTTCCTCACTGTCCAGCACTGGCAGGAGCTGCTGAGCTGTTTAGGAGATAGTTTTCCTCCGTGGCATTGGGTGTGCCCAGTGCTCCACATCTGGTGGCTCCATCGTGTCTGATGTGGAAACACCAACCCCAAACAAGGACAAATAAAAGCAAACTCTTCTCAGTCTGAGTTTCCCAGTGAGTTGCCAAAGGGAAGTGCCATGTGTTCCCCATTATCCAGTGGCTCTGCCCTCAGCCCAGGCACAGAACACAGATTCATGCCAGTTTTCCAAGGCCCACACCTAAGAAAGGCATTTGTTTGGAACCAGATGTGGGCTGAGACATAACAAAAGAGGTGAGGGATAAACTGGAGTAGCCACCAACATGTTGTGCAAAAGTCTGTTGGTGCCCTCATGCTGGTTATCAGCCACTGCTGTAAATCAGACTGTGCAAACTCATCACCACTGCTGTGTGTGCCACTTTGAACTCGTCCCAGTGACAGCAGGCCCAAATAAAAGGTCACTGAACTTGCTGTACTGGGTGTCTCTTTGTGAGTCTGCAGCTAGCAGAGAATAGAAACATGAGTGTGTGAGTGCAAGGTGGCTGCCTTTGTTTCCCTGACATGCAATTCAACAAAGCCTGCAACCCTGTGTGCCATGGGAGGAGGGAGAAGCTGATTTTTGGAGATGTTGAGCTCATGGATTGGGTACTGAGCCACTCAGCACTGAAAAGTGGTTACCCAGTGCTCAGGTTCCTCCTGCATCAGGAGGGGCTGAATTTTCATGAGTCCAGTATGCATAATACTGATGCTTTTGGCCACTGGTGCCCTCATATTAGTGCCACAGGAAATGCCAGCAGTGCTCCGTGTGTCATCATGGGGGGAATTCACACCAAACCCAGAGAGTGAAAATAAATGCATGAGCATGATGCCAGTCCAACCACATTGTAAAGGCCACTGCTCTCCCAGCAATAGGCATATCTGGACTGTAAGAACAAAAGGCAGGGGCTTTTTGGAGGAAATGATTAATTTTTCACATTGTTTCTTTTCCTTCCATACATTTTAAATTGGCTTCTCCAGCAAAGCCCCCAGTCGATTTCCCTTTCAGGCTCTCCTGCCTTGGAGTCATGCTGCTGCATTGAAACTGGCAAATGCTGCGGGGTAAGGCTTAAAGCCAAACAAAAATAATTATACAACACTTGTTTCTGCAAAGCTTTCAGTGCATCAGGGCCCCATCCTCACCAAAATTCTCAGGTGTCACAGCAAGATAAACAATAACTTTTTCTCCTGGCATCTTTGGTGACACATTTCAGAAAAGTCTGAGCATAGTTTAACCCTGGCTGTGCCTTAGCAAAGTCAGGGAGGAACAGATTTCACAGAGAGATTTCACTTAGCCTTTGCATTAACAGGTCCTACCATCTCCTGAAGATGTTCCCCAGTCCTCACCTTTTTACCAGTATAACCAGTCACCTCCCAGAGGGTTAATGCAGAAGGACCAGCCCCAGCTGGGGTGCAGGACCTGACTCTGAATCAAAACTCTGCTTTCTGGGGTCAGTCCGAGTGGTGCTCACTGGTTCTGTAGACACAATCTCTGTCTTTATCCTACATTCAGATTTCTAAACCCGCTGTATCAACCTGGAGCTGCTGCCCACCTCAGCCCCGCTTGTGCCCGCTCTGTGCGTGACAGGGCCGCAGGATGACTCAGAGGAGGGAAATTAATGATTCAGCAGTGAGATTGTAGCCGGCTTCTCCCCTTGGATGCACAGAAGACCATTAAAAATCCTGGCACGGCGCAGTCAGGCTCTGGCCTTGGTGGCTGCCATCACCACCTCTGCCACAGAAAATCTGACGGGCACATCATCAGTCCTTCAAACCTTGTCAGAGGGGCTATTTCAGGTGCCCCGAGCAGAAGGGAAGCTGCTCCCCTCCACCAGAGCTGCTATCATTGCTCTGCTGCTTCATCAGTCAAAGAAAACCACTTTACACTGATCGATGGTTCAAACAGTCTATGATTTTGGGATTTACTCGATTCATGATGCTGCTGCCCAGCACGCTCTGCTGATGCTGTATGGCACCAGTTTGCCCGCCTGAACCTGCTGCAGAAGTGCTGAAGGCACTGGGCTGGGCTGGGCTGGCACAGGGGGTGCTGGGGGGCTGCACCTCCACCCGAGTCACCGTCCCTGAGGTGTGAAAGCCACCCCAGTTTAAAGGTGATCCAGCCGCCAGCGGCATTGCTGCGCTCCCGAGGGCTCCGGTCCAGCGCTGAGAGGGAAGGTCCCACCGCTGCCCCCGTCATGGGGACCAGCCGAGGCCGTCAGCCCCGCTCCCCTTGGGATTCGTGTCCCCGTTCCCCCCGAGATGCTGTCCCCGCTCCTCCCGGGATTTGTGCCCGCCCCGGCCCCGCCGCTTCTCCCCGTTGTCGGGAGAGGGCGCTGGCGGCCCGCGGCTGAGCCGGGCGGGCCCGGGGCCGGCGGGGGCCGGGGGGTCCAAGGGCAGCGACCACCGCCGGCCCCGGGCCCGCCGCCTGTGCCCCAGCACCGCTGGCTGCACCCCGAGACGTGCCCGGGGCGGCGCTCACCGGGCAGCCGGCACAGCCACGGCACTCATCCACGGATCTGCCTGCTCCGAGTTTGATCCGTGCTGGGCCAGGCTCTGGCTTTAAGGTATTGGGTAGGGGAGTCCTGGAGCCTCGCAGGAGTCTCCTGAGGACGCTCACGACGGACATAAAGCAAAGCGCTCTGCGGACTCCACAGCTCCTTCCTGCTTCCTCCCCTTACGGCTGCCAGTTCATTGCCAGCAGCGGGGAGAAAAAGCGTTTGGCGCGTGCAAATCCACCCTGATAGTGCCACAGGCTCCCAGGATAAGAAGGCAGCCGGATGGGAGGCCAGCAGAGAGCAAAGGAAACGCGCAGAACCAGCGAGAACGTTTTTATCACAAGAGGTACAGAGGCTGAACTTGTAAACAGCCTCTGTCCCCGGCGGGGCGGGCTCCACGCGAGGGACGGGGGAGTGCAGAGCTCTGGCTGCCCCCCGCCCTAGGCACAGCCGGAACGCAGGTGTTGCCACCTCCGCGTTCCCAAGATCCCAGCCAGGTTCCTGGAAGGCTTTGGGATCAAGGTGCAGGAGTCTGTAGCTTATTATCTTGAAAACTTCAAGGACACCCACTTGTACTTCCCTATCCGTGACGTGCTGGCCCTGCTGGATACGGTCTGGTGCGGGCAGCGGCGGCTTTACAAGCGGCCACCAGACCGAAATGCTGTGCTCTGGCATGAGGAGGAACAGCACCGGCGCCCCCAAGCCCATGGAAGAGCGCCCCAGTCCCTCCGGAGCACAGCCTGGTGGGACGGATGGAGGACACCCTTGAATTTCCCCGGCTGCTAACTTTCTTTGGGAGGGTGTTTGGGAGGGAAGCTCCCGTGGGGCCGGGAAAGGAGGGTGCAGCTGGTGGCCCCGGCTTTGTGGCACTGGCATGTCAAGCAGGTTTCCATAGCACCAGCATCCATAACACGGGGCCGAGGGGAGGGAGAGAAGTAGGTCAGACAGGGCTAACAATACTAAGACGTGTCTATCTGTGGCTCAGCCTGACCCAGGAAAAGGGTGAAACGGAGAAGAATGGGAAAGGAAAAAAAAAATAAAGAAGGAAAGAAAGTATCCACAGTCTGAGCAATGCATTTCTTGCCTTTAGAAAAATAAGGACCTTTTAAAGCCACCTTTGTGTATCAGCGCTGAGCAACCGAGACTAGCACCCACCTCCTGCCCATCTGACAACAGGCTACAAGGGAATTCAAATGCTAATGTGGAGCCAGACTTCTCAATGGGCCTTTATTTCTGCAGCAGCGCCAGGATCGGAGCTCTGGGGAGCCAGCCCGCAGGAGCTGTGAGGATGCAGTCTCCAGAGCAGGACTGTGGGACACTTCCCTTTCCCCTCACCGTTCCTCACCGTCACTTTGTTACCCCTTGTCTTAGTTTTTCTTGTTTACATGCAAATGATTTCAAGGGCAAGGAAAGAGAAAGGCGGGCACATGGAGCTGTGTGAGTGAAAAGCCCCCGCTAGTGACCCGTTTTATGTGCTGAGTCTGCAGAGGCCTCGCTGTCATTGTCACAGCATTTTGGGGTTGCCTGCTTTGCAGTGTGGTCGTTTCGAGCTTTGTGTCCATCAATGCCAAAAGCAGGAAGAGCATTATGGGCAGTGAGATCCAGAGCCCTCGTGATCTGAGCAAACAGATGGACACACAGATCTGCTGGGTGTAACAGAGCAAGGTCAGGGGAAGGAGTGCTTTGCTCAGGGGGAACTGGAGAGTGTGGGTGCAAGAGCACAACCCTCAGTGGAGAGGCTGAGATGGGCTGGGGTGAAGAGCGTGACTGTGGCTGACCTGTGTCATACCTGCAGCTGGAGAGTGCCGTGCTTGGCTTGAACATCACCCCCACACCATCACGGAGCAGATGCAGCAGTGGATGCAGGCACAGGATGTTTCAGACAGGCCAGTGAGAGCAGGACCCTCACCTGCAGGAAAGTTCTTCCTTCACATTCCTTTACCACAGGCCACAACCCAGTGCAGTAGAAACTGTTCCTGCACTTGATAGTGCGGTAAAGTCTAAGCAAAACCAAAGCTATCTGCAACTCTGTCTGTTAGCAGGCTGGGAGGCCAGGAAAATCCACACTCTAAAGTTACAATTTGCCCAGTCTCATCAGTTTTCTACCTCCAGCAATTACCACTTACAAGAGAGCTCCAAGAATTCACATTTTCCCAGATAAGGGCAGAGCCACTATATATATATGATGGACAGGGTTTAACATGGCCCTTTGTGAATGCCCTCCCTGCAAAGGAAAACTGACCACCTACTGTGGAACCTTAGGGAAGAGCATGCCCAGCTCCAGCTCCCAGGGATGCTGTGCCAGACTCTGTGCTCAGGGACTAAAGGTAAAAGTTATGTAGGAAGAGCCAAAGGGTCAGCACTCAGGAGGACTCACAGAGCACTTCTGGAGTGAGAGAATGAAAGAAGATCTGTGCCTGAGCAC